GAACGTCTGGCGGCGGCCAGCAGCAAACAGGAAGTCCAGGGAAGGCTTCTTGAGGAGGGGCCTCACTACCGCCTCTTTCAAGGCAGCAGGAAAGGCACCCTCACTCAGAGAAGCAGTTATAATCCCCTGGAGCCAGCCTCGTGTAACCTCTCGGGAGGCCAGTACCAACCAGGAGGACACGGGTCCAATAAACACGTGGCGGTACTAATCTTACCCAGAACCCTGTCCACATCCTCGGGAGACACAGGATCAAACTCCTCCCAGATAACATTCTCAAGACCTGCCCTGGTCTCCTCCTGTGGACTCATCCAATTGGAGTCCAAGCCATCCTGAATCTGAGCGACTTTATCGTGCAGGAATTGCACAAAATCCTCAGCACGACCCTGCAAGGGATCTTCCCGCACTCCCCCCCCGAAGAAGGGAGTGGGTCACCCTAAACAGGGCAGCTGGGCAGTTCTCTGCAGATGCGATAAGAGCGGAAAAATGGTTAGATTTTGCCGCTTTTATCGCCACTAGGTAGGTCTTGATATAAGACCTCACCTGTGTCCGGTCGGAATCGGATTGACTAGTCCTCCAAATGCTCTCTAGGCGTCTTTTCTGACGCTTCATCTCTCTCAGCTCCTCAGAGAACCAAGGAGCTAATTGAGATCGGCATCGGGTCAGAGGCCGCAAAGGCACGACGCGGTCCAAAGCTCCAGCGGCCGCCCTTTCCCAAGCGGCCACCAGCTCTTCAGTCGAGTCGTGTGTTAGAGTCTCAGGAAATGGCCCAAGCTCCGTCAGGAACCTTTCGGGATCCATCAGGCACCTGGGACGGAACCATCTGGTCAGTTCCGTCTCCCTGCGGCGGGGGCAGGCAGTAGGAAAGTCTAGTTGAAGGAGTGAATGATCTGTCTATGACAAGGGTTTAATATCTAGGTCCCCTCTACCAAGATCATTCAACCACTGACCAGAGATAAAAATCAAGTCCAGAGTGTGTCCCCCTATGTGAGTGGGGCCTTGAACTAACTGGGTCAGGTCCAAGGCCGTCATGGAAGCCATGAACTCCCGAGCCACCTCTGATGCCTCACACGCGGATGGGAGGTTGAAATCCCCCATGACAATAAGTCTGGGGGTATCGACCGCCACCCCAGCAATGACGTCGAGTAGCTCGGGCAGGGTCACTGCCACGTGGCAGGGAGCCAGGTATGTAGTCAGCAGACCCATCTGCACCTCACGGCCCCACTTCACACAAAGGGACTCACATCCGGCTATCTGAGGAACAGTGGTCTCCCTCGGACAGAGACTCTCCCTAATGATCACCGCCACTCCCCCACCCCTCCCATGGGCCCTTGGCTGATGAAATGTACGGAAACCTGGCGGGCACATCTCGATGAGGGGGACCCCCCCCTTGGCCCAACCAGGTCTCCGTAATACCTGCCAGGTCTGCACCCCCCTCCAAAATAAGATCACAGATGAGGGGGGCTTTATTAACCACCGACCTGGCATTACATAACATCAGCCGCGGACCCTGGGCCTGAGGCTCTACACAGCCCAGGACACGAGTCACGCATTGGGGGCCGGAGTGCGCAATCGCTCGGAGACAGCGCGTGCGCACCCCCGACACTTGATATGACCCCCTGCACCCGTCATACCTGCCCCCCCACTCATTATTTCAATTACACAGCCCTTTCTATCATCCCCCTGCCCCCCGGTTAAATTTCCTTTCGCGACCCCTCTGCTGCAGCTAATCGACCCATCATCCCGCGGAGTTGCTATCTGGACCCCCCCAGGTCCACTTTTACAACCCCCTCCCTTCCTCCCGGGTCCCCTTAAAATTTTGTTTAAAAATTTAGTTAAAAAACCCCTCAACCCCCTCTTTGCTGCATGCCATCTCTCGGGGTCCCAAAGCCCATCATCAAGATAGGCCCTCGATAGCGTGGAGGGCCAGGCCTGCAAGAGGGGGGAGTCTCGCAGCGCAAGAAGGTCGGTTTTTTGGAGCATCAACCGAACCAAAGATGGGAGAAGAAAGGCCAGTCTGGGAATCTATCATAGTCCAAGGGATAACTGAGCATAAAAGGTCACAAAATATCCATTTATAGGGCTGGACTCCACTGTCCTCTCACGACAGGGAGAGGGTCCAATGTTCTTTTTCTCCAACGTAGGCTAATGGCCAGCCATCCTCTCACGATGGCCGGTCCCGTTACGAAGTTAATGGGAGCAATGTTCTATCCACTCCGTTGGGATGTGGAAAATCCCTCAGCTCTCTCAAATGGTGCTCAGTCTCTCCTACCAGCGAGGGCCTGAGTGGAGCATACTAAGGGGTCCAGAGTGTCCAGAGTGTAGATGTTAATAACGATGGTAATAGTAAAGATGTTAATAAAGATGATAATAGACCCACGGGCACAAGATCTTCCTTGAGGTGAGAGTAGGAGTAGCGAGACAGGAAAGCCCAATCCAGGGGTGGTTGGCCATTAAGGCCAACACCCACCCATACCTGGGGGAAGGGGGGAGGAGAGGCCACCCGAGGTGACCAACAAACCAAACCATGGTCAGCCTCCCGCCTCTCCAACCCCAAATCTCCACAGTCACAGCTTTGTTCTCAAACACCCCATCACAGTAAAGATCTACTGTGAGCCAGATGGTAGTCCTAGGGGTGAGGCTGTCCGCTTCTCCCCCATCAACCTGCTGCCTGGCCGTTTCTCTGGCCGGCTGGTCCATGTCAGCCATTGCCTCCGCCGCTGCCGTCGTCACCAGCCCACAACCAGGCACCCCAAGCTCCCAAGGCACACCGGAGCCCCCGAAAGCGCTGGAAAAGAGCGTCCCAGGGGTCCAGAGGGCTATAGGGAGCAGGGGGGGCCACCTCCAAGCCGCCGCCGCACAAACGCCGCCCGCCGCCGGATGCCTCGGCCTCCACTTCCTTCCGAAGCCGGAAACAGCTGCCGCAGCCAGGCCCATCGCCCCATCTCATGCCGTCCAGTCCTGCCCTGACATTCCGGAGGGTGAAAAAGCCCTCAACAGGCAGGGCGGATGCTCCCCTCACTGGGACTGGAGCCGGAGATGGACAAGAAGGCTCCTGAAGACCCTGATGACCAGCAACTCTCCCATCCCCGAAACGGAGCTCATTTGGTCACCGCCATCTTGAAGCATGCGACTTCTTTGGACTTTTTGTGGCTGTGTGAGGTTCATTTTCATTTTTCATTTTTTATTTTATTTGATTTATATACCGCCCTACTCCCGAATGACCAGTGAACAGTCACAAGATAAAGCACATAAATACAAAATTTAAAAGCAAAGTAAAACTGAATTAATCAATTTGGCCCAAGACAGATTTAAAACACCCCAATAATTTAAAACAGATTAAAATTTCCATTTTAAAAAGGGAAAAAAGGGAAAAGATTAGGCCAAGCCAGCCTGATGGAATAAAAAGGTCTTAAGAGCACAGCGGAAGGTGTGCAAATCCGGGATCCTCCGTATCTCCGGGGGGAGCTCATTCCAGGTAGTAGGTGCCCCCACAGAGAAGGCGCTCCCCTGGGGGCCGCCAGTCGACATTGTTTGGCCAACGGCACCCGGAGGAGCCCCTCTCTATGAGAGCGTACCGGCCAATGGGAGACTATTGGTGGCAGCAGGCGCTCCCGTAGGTAACCAGGTCCTAAGCCATGGAGTGCTCTAAAGGTGGTAACCAAAACCTTGAAGCGCACCCGGAAGACCACCGGGAGCCAGTGCAGCATCCGCAGGAGAAGTGTTACATGGGAGTGCCATGTCGCTCCCATAACCACCTGCGCGGCCGCACTCTGCGCCAGTTGGAGCCTCCGGGTGCTCCTCAAGGGAAGCCCCATGTGGAGAGCGTTGCAATAGTCCAGGCGGGAAGTGACGAGGGCATGCGTGACCGTGAGTAAGGAGTCCCGATCCAGAAAGGGACGCAACTGGCAAATCAGGAGAACCTGATGAAAAATCTTCCCGGTCACGGCCGTCAAATACTCTTCTAAAGACAGCTGTGAATCCAGGAGGATGCCCAAGTTGCGAGCCCTCTCCGTGGGGGCCAACGATTCGCCCCAATAGTCAGTGATGGCACCAACTGACTATATCGGGACATCGGAAACCACAGCCACTCGGTCTTGGATGGGTTGAGCCTGAGCCTGTTTCTCCCCATCCAGATCCGCACAGCCTCCAGGCACCGGGACATCACTTCAAGGGCATCATTGGGGTGGTCCGGGGTGGAGATGTGCAGCTGAGTGTCGTCAGCGTACTGGTGGTACTTCACCCCGAAACCACGGATGATCTCGCCCAGTGGCTTTACATAAATGTTGAACAGAAGAGGCGAGAGGACCGACCCTTGTGGCACCCCACATATGAGGGGCCTCGGGGTCGACCTCTGCTCCCCTGCCAACACAGGCTGCAACTGGTCGGAGTTGTGAACAAGATCACAAATGAACGGGGCTTTATTTACTACAGACCTGGCATTGCACAACATCAGCCAAAGGCCCGGGCCCTGAGGGTCTGTGCAACCTGGGGAATGAGTGGAGCCTTGGGGGCCGGAGCGCGCCACCACTTGTAGACAGCCAACGCGCGCTCCCCTAACATGATATGGCCCCCTGCTCCCGCCGTATCTGCCCCTCCCACCCACAGTATTGATGTTCGAAACACTATCCGGATTATGCAGGGGCCATTCCTGCTTGTTGCAGGGGCCATTTTGGGTCTAGCACAGCTGCTTTTACACTGTGGGTGAGCCAGTTGTGTTGTGTTGTATTGTGTGTGTGTAAAATGTAAAAGTTGTTTTTTTGGGCTTTTTGTGGCTGTGTGAGGTTCCTGCTTGTTGCAGGGGCCATTTTGGGTCTAACACAGCTACTTTTATATTGTGGGTGAGCCAGTTGTGTTGTGTTGTGTTTTGTAGGTTAAAAAAGGGCAAAGAAGTGACAATGACTTGGCCACGCCCACTTGACCAACAAGCCATGCCCTCCCAGTCACCTTATCACCAAGCCCCGCCCACTAATTAAGCCCCGCCCACAGAACCGGTAGCAAAAAAATTTAGATTTCACCCCTGAAGTATATGTTTAAAGTACATGTAGAAATAATCATGTTTGTAACATTGAGGTTAAAGGACTGGAAAACTGCTTCTGTTGCTAGGACAGTATGGACAGATCTCAAAAGTCACATGGTTTGTGGTTTTAAGGTATAAAAGACAAAGGTGAATAAGGGAAGGTTGCCAATCAGCCTTAAGCTGTCCCTTTTGACAGCTTGTCTGATTGACCCTCATTGCAATGTGATTAATGTAAGTGCTTTATGTTTGTTATGCTTTAAATTCTAATAAACCTCTGAATTCTAAAGTGAGATATTTTGTGGTGTTCTGTCTGTTTAATTGTTATTAAGTGTAGCTATGCTCATAATCAGGTTTTTCCCCTGATGGTGCATTGGCTGGGAAGAACACGCTGAAAGGGGCCTCACGTCCTGAAGGAGCCCCTGACCATCTCTGCTTTTGGACTGCTGCTAATCAGCTGCTCCATTTTGGACCAGAGGTAAGAGGGAGCTCCCTCCTTGGGGACCTCTGCCAGGCATAAGATGTTGAGAGCTTGGGCCTGGCACTATCAGGGGCAAGTGGGATCCTTTTGGCCACTCAGGAAGGGTCACTCCCATGAAAAAGGAGTAGAGGGATGGAAGGGAGGGAGAAGGAGAGAGAGAAATGGGAAAAAAAGAAAGAGGGGAGGAAGGAAGGGAGGGAAAATAAGAGTAGGAGAGAGGGCTAGATAGGGAGAAAGAGAGGAGGAGAGGGAGGAAAGGAAGGGGAAGTAGAGAAGGAGTAGGAGAGGAAGGAAGAAAAAAGTAGGAAGGAAAGAAGGGAGGGAGATGGAAGAGATTGAGAAGAAAGATTGCTGTACAATAAAAAAGATGAAATGGAAGAAAGGCAATCCCGAACATGAGTAAATGCACTAAGATAAAGAATGAATTATTAAAAAATAAAAGAGAATAAATATGACTAAAAACAGAGAAGTTAGAATTTGAGGGTGAATAAAGATGTTGTTTATACAAATAAGCATAGAAATTTTAAGATATGATCAAAAAATGGAAAAAGAAGATTTCGGCAAAAACTGTAACTGAGTAAAATGTATTTGAATAAGATAAATTGTATAAGTTATGATATGGCCAATATTCTGTTGATAAAATATGCAGGTGAATGTGGGGGAAAAAAAAATCAATAAAACTTGATAAAAAAAAAAAGGAAGGGTCACTCCTTTCTGAGGATGTTGATGATGATGAAGTTGCAGTAGTAGTTGTCTCTCCCCGGAGGCAAAATGGTCGGGCAGTTTAATTCATACGTGGATTAGGATCTGCCTTTGGCAGAGGTAGAGGAAGCTGTCATAGCCAGAACCAGGGGTGGGTTCTACTTACCTTTGCTACCAGTTCGCAATGGGGCCTTCCCCTGCTCATTTACTGTTGGATGCCCTTGCTTTGTAATGGGGAACTCCCGGTCTATGATTATGTCTATGATTTGGTGAAGACATCCTAGAAGCCACCATGGAACCTTTTCCAAACTTGTGGAACTTTCAGTGTAAAATTTGTAAACACAGAAGACTTAACTGTGTTTTAGTTTATTTGAAAGCCAGAATGCCAGAATTTCTGAAGGAGCCCCCCCCCGCCCCACAGCTGAATGGAGGGACACTCTAAAATCCACCTTGGGGAATGTGCAAAAAGTACTGAATAAAGCCAGGGAGTCACAAAAGAAACTTTTGTGGCAGATCGGAAAAGAGCCTCCCAGAAGGAGTTCAGAACTGGGGATAAAGTATACCTATCTACTAAATACTTGAAGCTGAAGCAACCATGTAAGAAAGTACATAGACCCTTCCCCATTGCTCATATTATAAACCCAGTTTTAGTGCAATTGTGGTTACCGGAGGTGCTCAGGCAGGTCCACCAGTTGTTCCACTGCAACTTATTAAAATCCTTCCATGGCCCTAAGTTAAGGCAAGTCAAAGGGGACCTCCACCTCCCATTGTAGTGGGGGTGAGGAACACAATGAAATCAAAAAGATATTAGACTATCTCTAAAATACTAGAGGTATTTTAAAGGGAGATTACAATATTTAGTGCAGTGAAAGGATATCCCTCAGCTGAAGCTGAGTGAGTGGGGACTCACAATGTTAGTGCAGAAAAGTTGGTAAGGTTGCATGCAAAATAACCTCAATAGTCAAGGAAATTGTTGAAGGCTAAGGATACCTAGGTAATGATGCTAAACTGTGTTTAATATTTTTTGATGTTTCCCTTTCCTCCAGGGCATCGGCATGTCAAGATTGAACCATGTTGCTCTTTTTGAATCATATCACTATTCAAATTGCCATTGAACTGGGGGGTGGGGGGTGGGAGTGTGGAATGGAATGTTGAGATTTTGCATATGAATCACGAGAGCTTGGAAACCATCAAGGTCACTACTGCAGGTGCCTGAGAAGGAGGTGGATTATTCCTTTAACAAAAGGATGTCTCATAATTGGACAATGTGAACACCCAGGGGTGGGGAGAAAGGGAAGTTATTGTTTAACTAAGCAAGACTTTGCGCAGGAAAACCAGAACTGATTTTGATTCTTCAGTACTGAAATGGTGTATCCAATAAAGTTTTACTTTTGAGAATTCATGATCCCGAGAGTCTTTACTTCTTTTGGGTCTGCTAGTTGGACAGTTGACACCTAATTTAATTGCCTCAGATTCCCTGAGTAATCCCACAATAATTTTTACAAACTAACAGGATGAGAATATCTGAAACCCAGTTTTTCTTTGGTTCTGTGCTTCCCTTGCCAAAGGCTAGCTGGAGTGGTAGAAAACATCTGGGAGATGCTTTAAGGAGAAGTGAGTGGCTGCAGCTTTCTGACAAATCCATGTTTTATGATGGGTAATTATCTGATGATGGAAAATCTATGAGATCCCTCCTCATCGATACCATTTAGTAAGCATGCTCACAACTTATTCTTACAAGTCCAGATGTGTCCATTGCTCTAAGGATATAACTGTTCACTAACAGAATAACAGAATTGGAAGAGACCTTGGAGGGCTTCTAGTTCAATCCCTTGCTCAAGAAAAAAACCCTATACCATTTCAGACAAATGGTTGTCCAATTTCTTCTTAAAAATCTCCAGTGTTGGAGCATCCACAAATTCCTCTCTATTAACTATGATCTACTTGATTAGCTGTTAATCTCCAGAATAGTAGTTAATATCACAACAAACACTAGCTACGTCAAGGTAACTCTGTTTGCATCCCTGGAGATACTTTTTCATCTTTTTCACCTCAGAGACTGTGTATTCATCGGCCATCGAAAGGAGGGAAAGAGCCTCGAGCCCTCCAAAGTCAAAAAGATTATAAATCTTGGATCTGAGACTCTTGGTTTCTAACCTTAATAATACATGTTTTCTTAAGTGGGATATTGGAGGCCAAGAATCTCTTTGATCATCATGGAACACATATTATACAAATACTGAGTTTGTGATAGTTGTTGTGGATAGCACAGACAGAGAAAGAATTTCCGTAACTAAAGAAGAATTGTATAAAATGTTAGCACATGAGGACTTGAGAAAAGCAGGCTTGCTCATCTTTGCTAACAAACAGGATGTTAAAAACTGCATGACGGTAGCTGAAATTTCTCAGTTCCTGAAACTAACATCTATTAAAGATTACCAGTGGCACATCCAGGCATGCTGTGCTCTTACTGGCAAAGGGAGCTGGAGACCCATGGATCACAGAAGGAAGGATGCCTGGGGGAAATCTAGTTCTGCTCCCAGGATACCAAAGGACTTCTTCTCCCATCCAGGAGCTGGAGACCCATGGATCTCAGAAGCCTTGGTAGTACAGTGGTCTAAGGCACCCTGTAATTAAGCTGGTTATTAAGACCAGCTGCCTGAAATTACTGCAGGTTCGAATCTCGTCAAGACTCAAGGTTGACTCAGCCTTCCATCCTTTCTAAGGTAGGTAAATTGAGGACCCAGTTGTGGGGGCAATAAGCTGACTTTGTATAAATATACAAAAGAATGAAGGCTATTGCTTAGCGCATTGTAAGCCGCCCTGAGTCTCCGGAGAAGGGCGGCATATAAATCAAATTTTTTAAAAAAGGAGCATTTTTTAGACTTTAGTCTTAGATGTGTTTTAATCCACTTAACACCTTTGGCTTAATACATTAATTTTATCTTGGGGAGGGTGTGTGTGTGTATGTGTGAGGGTATTGGGATGGATGGGATGGAAGGAATGGATTTGGAGAGGCTGAATTTGGGGAGAATGAGGGAGCCGGGGGCAAGGAATGGAACCCCCTCTGCTGAGTGTGCAAACAGAAGCAGATGGGGACTCAGATATGACCCTTGGCTCGGAATGAGTGGGGTGCTTTGCCTGCCGGGGAGGAGGGGGGCATTGAGGTGGGGGAGGGGATCTCTGGGGTGTTGGAGAGCTGGAGTATTGCGGTTATGACCAGGAGAGGTAGATATGGTGGGAGCCGAGGGGTAGGCCGCTCTCAGGGAACTAGGACTCGCTGTCTCAAAGCGATTACTTGTTCCGGCTCCTCTGGTCCTGGTTCACCAAGCTTGCCTCGTATATCTGGTGACTCGGGATGTCACCGAGTCATGACATCAGTGTCAGCTTCAGGCTGCTGCTGTTTAATGCCAGGTCTGTTGTTAACAAGCCCCCCCCTCGTTCGGGACTTAATCCTGGAGGAGGGGGATGACCTGGCATGCTTAACTGAGACCTGGCTGGGCCAGGAGGGGGGGTGTGCCCCTCTCAGAGATGTGCCCAGACAGTTTCTAGATATTGCATCAGCTGTGATTCCAGGGAAGGGGTGGAGGAGTGGCAGCCATTGTCCGGAAGAGTCTTTGCCCTCGCAGGATCCCTGCCCCTGAGATTGTTGGGTGTGAGTCTCTCCTTTTGAGGTTGGACTCAGAGGTTCAGTTGGGCTTGTTGCTGACGTACCTCCCTCCCAGCTGCATTACAACAGCCCTGCCTATGCTGCTAGAGGTGGTAGCTGGGCTGGAGGTGGAGTTCCCCAGGCTTATGGTACTGGGGTACTTCAATTTGCCATCACTTGGCGAATCCTCAGATGTGGCTCAGGAGTTCATGGCTTCCATGACAACCATGGACCTGACCATATAGTTCAGGGTCTGACTCATAGTGGGGGACACACACTTGACCTGGTGTGTCTCTCGGGGCAGTGGAGATATGATCTGGAATTAAGGGGTATTGATGCTTCTCCCTTGTCGTGATCAGATCATTTCCTGCTGAGGTTAGACTTCAGGACTCCTCATTGCAGGGAGGTGGAACCGATTAAGTGGTTCTGCCCCAGGCTATTAATGGACCCTGAAGGGTTCCAGAAGGAGCTTGGGGAGATACCTGACTCCCTTGTCCACAGTCCAGCTGAGTCCCTGACGGCTGCCTGGAATAGGGCGGCATCTGGGGCACTGGACTGGATTGCGCCTTTGCGACCTCTCCATGGCGGTGGATCCAGGAAAGCTCCCTGGTTACTGAGGAGCTCCAGGAGATGAAGCGCCAGAAGAGACATCTAGAGCAACGCTGGAGGACCAGTAACTCAGAATCTGAACACTCTTAAGAGCCTTTATTAGGACTTATTTAATGGCAATACGGGCAGCAAAATGTTTGCATTTTTCCACACTTATTGCATCCGTGGATTTGTGCCCAGCCGCCCTATTCAAGGTGACTTGCTCCCTCTTTAATTAGGGGGAATGGAGGAGCCCTTGCAGGGTAGAGCTGAGGAGTTTGTGCAGTTTGTGTTGGATAAAGTCGCTCAGATTCGGATGGACCTGGACTCTGATTGGGCAATTCCAACTGAGATGATGGGGGCAGGTCTTAGTCCTATTGTGTGGGATGAGTTTAAGCCTGTGACTCCTGAGGAAGTGGACAAGGCTGTAGGAGCAATGAGTTCCTCCACTTGTTTGTTGGACCCATGCCCCTCCTGGCTGGCTTTGGCCAGCAGGGAGGTGACACGAGGCTGGCTCCAGACTTTAGTTAATGTGTCCTTGAGGGAAGGGGCCTTCCTGCAACCAATAAAGGAGGCGGTTGTAAGGCCCCTCCTCATGAGGCCTTCCCTGGATCCAGCAGAATTAAAGAACTTTCATCCAGTCTCCAACCTACCCTTTGTGGGAAAGGTTGTAGAGAAAGTGGTGGCACTTCAGCTCCTGCGGTCATTGGAGGAAATGGATTATCTAGACCCTTTTCAGTCTGGCTTCAGGCCTTGCTATAGCACAGAAACTGCTTTGGACATGCTGATGGATGATCTCTGGTGAGTCCGAGATGGGGGTCATTCCTCCATCTTGGTGCTACTTGACCTCTCAGCGCTTTCGATACCATTGACCATGGTATCCTTCTAGGACGACTAAGGGAGCTGGGAGTGTGAGGCACCGTGTTACGGTGGTTCTCCTCCTATCTCTCTGGTCAATCACAGTCGGTACTGGTAGGAGGACAGAGGTTGACCGCTAGGCCTTCGTTTGTGGGGTGCCTCAGGGCTCGGTCCTCTCTCCCCTCCTATTTAACATCTACATGAAGCTGCTGGGTGAGATCATCCAACGATCCGGGGTGAGATATCAGCAATACGCTGATGATACCCAGCTGTATATCTCTACCCCGCATCAATTCAGTGATGTGGTGGATGTGATGTGCCGGTGCCTGGAGGTTGTGAGGGTCTGGATGGGAGTCAACAGGCTCAGACTTAACCCAGACAAGACCAAGTGGCTGTGGGTATTGTCTCCTAAAGACTATGTTGATTGTCCATCCTTGGTTCTGGGAGGGGGGAGAAATTGTCCCCCTCAGAACGGGTTCGCAATTTGGGTGTCCTCCTAGACTCACAGCTAAGATTAGAGCAACATCTGTCAGCTGTGGCTAGGGGGACCTTTGCACAGGTTCGCCTGGTGCACCAATTGCGACCCTACTTGGATCGGGAGGCTCTCCTCACGGTCACTCATGCTCTTGTCACCTCATGGTTAGATTATTGCAACGCACTCTACATGGGGCTACCCTTGAAAAGTGTTCGGAGACTACAATTGATTCAGAACGCAGCCCACAGGCTGTCGTGGGTACACCTAGGTATACCCACATTACACCAAGTCTCCGCGAGCTGCACTGGCTCCCAATTGGTCTCCGGTCACAATTCAAGGTGGTTCAAGGTGGTTATTACCTTTAAAGCCCTACATGGCTCAGGGCCAGGGTATCTTCGAGACCGCCCTCTACCGCATAACTCCCAACAACCGGTAAGATCCCACAGAGTTGGTCTCCTCTGGGTCCTGTCAGCTAAACAATGCCGGCTGGCGGGCCCGTGGGGGAGGGCCTTCTCTGTGGCTGCCCCAGCTCTCTGGAACCAGTTACCTCCTGAGGTCTGGACCATCCCCATCCTATTGGCCTTCCAAAAAGCAGTGAAGACCTGGCTTTTCCGGCAGGCCTGGGGCTGTTGATCTCGCTCTTGTGATCCAGCGAGATCTGGCCATGAATGGTGTGAATGAGTTTTAATGTTTTTAATGTTTTTAATTTTTAAATGTTTTTTATAATGATTTTAAATGCATTGTGAGCACCCTGAGTCTTCGGAGAGGGGCAGCATACAAATTGAATTAATAAATAATAAATAAAATATTTGGCAGAAGACTTTGTTATGATC